GAGGACTTACCACAGTACAAGCGATTCATACAGAGCCAAAAATATTATCGGAACATAATTTAAGTTAGAAATACAGCAGTAGATAAACCTAGGTGAGATTTCTGGGCTAAGGTTCTCACAGACAGTGCTGTCCCTATATAAAAATATTATGCACTTATGAGTACTTCTAATGAGGAAAAATCTATGAGAGAAATTTGTTATTCACCTCTTTTAAGAAAAAACAGTATCCCAGTGGGCAGAATTCCCCGGGCCCTGTACCTCACAGGCCATCTTAGTGGTTCTCAGCAGTTCTCAGCTCAGAGGTGGGTCTCACGCGAAGTGGAAACAACGTTCAGAGGCCTGAAACAAGGACTGAGTGGTTGTCCTGTAAGAGGAAGCAGGAAGGGCAGTCTTGCCGTGTGATTCCAGGGCCACCCTGCCCTGTCCTGAGCTGACACTGATGTCCTCCTCTGTCCTGCAGCCTTTCCTCAGCATCGTGCTGTTTGCCCTGGCTGGCTCTGTGGGGTTTGTCACCCACTACTTGCTCCCCCAGCTCCGCAAGCACCATCCGTGGATGTGGATTTCACACCCCATTCTGAAGAACAGGGAATGTCAGCAGCGGGAAGTGACAGGTTAGTAATCCGTCCTTGCAGAGACGGCGGTGGGTGGCACTACCGTGGGAGTGGACTCTTAAATGTGGTTACGGTGGGAGGTGTTACATTCTGTACGTCTTACCACGATGCAGAAGGGGGGGGTGCCGTGGAACATACCAGCTTGTTTTCAGAGCAACAAAGTTGAAATGGGGTCACTTAGAGGCATGTTTATGAAAATAGCAATTGGTTATTAGTATTGGAAAAATTAATTTATATAATTCAGACCTGAAGGTCATGTGTTTCACTAAAGTTGACTGGGAACTGAGAAGACCATCATCGCTTGACTGCCCTCCCATCCTCCACAAAATGGGGGGACAGAGCAGAGACTGACCTTTAACCTTCAGTACCCCGGACCCTTGCTTTGCTCACCTAGACCTGAACTTGCCTGACTGAGGGGCTCCCGGGCTGTCTCTGGCAGGATCGTGTAATAAATGGCCTGTAATCCCAACTGTGAATTTCTAGATAAAGAAACTGTCAGGAATTTTTCTGCTAGGTCTCCCCTGGCTCTGTGATTGGGCAGGTAGCAGAAAGATTGATTTATCCCTATTTTCAGACACTTCAAAGTTATTGGTTATAATTTATCACCAGCTCATGTTGGTAATTCTGCATAGAAGCNTCAACTTTCACTCTCAATCGTCTTTATCATTTTCAACACTTGCATTGTATCTATTTTTCTCAGTTTCTAGAGATAAAAGACAAACAAACAAAACTACCCAATTTTTATCTGTACAATTCAAACAGCTTCTTTTAAACCATTGGCTGTATCATCTATATTTTTGGAGCCTCGCGCTGTCTACATCCGCTGGGTGTGTAGTGTTGGACCAGGGCTGCTTAATCTTGTTAGGGTCGGAGTGTGAAGTGCTACTTAAAATGTCATAAAGGATTTAAAACATTCAGTATACTAAGAGCTAATATATTCATTAGATAAGCATTCATGGACTCACCATTAAAATAGGGAATAAAACATTAATATTGTTCAAAACATTAAATATTGTTTTAGAAGTTCTGACTAGCTTACGTCCTGAAAGAGAAACAAATGTAGATCACATTATTGTATTCATATATTAGAATGCACAGAAAAGTTTATTAAAATCATCTATGATTAATAAGAGAATTCATAAAGACCGCCAGAGACAAGAAAATGTAGAAAAGCAAGAACATTCTAACACGTCAAAAATAACTTTAGATAATATAATGAAAACATGATCCAACTCACAATAGCAACAAAATGCATGAATTGATAGTAGGAATGATTTTAACAAGTAGTGTCAGAAGTAAAGAAAACTACAGCAGTCTATTAAAATGCAAATGAAGTTTTGAATAAGTGGTGATGAATAGATAAAACCTGATTTTTGATAGGAAGGCTGAGATTTATTAAATGCCAATTCTTTCTAATAAATTTATAGGTTTAATATGAAACCTACAAAGGAATTTTATTTACAACTTGGGGAAATGATTCTAAGAAGAATAGCTTTTAATAGCTTTAAAAGTCTGAAAAAGAAGAAGAAGGAAGAGGAAATTAGCACTTTGAGATTTAAGAGTACATTATAAAGATTGAATAATTAAAAAAATACAAGACTCATCCAAGATTAGAGAATGAGATTAGNAGGTTTTATCTCTCTTACCTTCCTGATATTATACATTAACATTTTCCCTTTCTCCTCCCTCCCGGTATAGTTTTAATATTTTTGTTGAACACATACTCAGCATTTTTCACTAGTAAGTCTAATAGTTGTTCACTTCCAGTGCAGCCGTGTGCTATGATGACAGTTCCTTTCTTGTTCATATTTCTGTTTTTGCATTTGCTAGCCTTTCCAATAGCTGTGCCAGGTCCTTCCCAGTTCAGTTTTCCACACAGGAACCCCTGTATGTCACGTAACCTATGAGCCCCAACCCCCCAGACCCCTTGGGGCCTGCTGCTTGTCTGTGTCCTCTTGAACGAAGCTGATCCTCCCATCACTCCAGAAAAAGGCTGCGTGGGAAGGAAACATTCGAGACTTCAGCTATGTCAAAGTGTTTTAATTCCTCTGCTCTGAATGGGTGGTTTGTAGTGTGTATATAGCCTGTCAGGCTGTAAACATTCTTTTCAGAAGTCTAAGGGAATGGTCCGTTGCCTCAGCTTCCACTGCTGCTGTTGAAAAAAGTCTGACGTCTTTCTGATTCCTGGTCCTTTATATGGGGCCAGGTTTTTCCCTGCAGGGAACTTTGGGAAAGTTTTGGAGGGAAATAAAGTGCCAAGGCCCAGAGAACAGGCTCTGGAGCCAGACTAGGTGGGCTCCGATCCTGGCTTTGTCACATGTTAGTTGTGCTAAACTATTTGATTCAACTTTGTCGTCTATGATCGGGCGTTCCTACAGCGAAGACTGGATGGGAGATTGAGTTAATCATTATAACAAATGCAGAGTGGTTGGCATGGTCCCTGGGACTCAGTCAGTGTGTCTTCCTTCTCTTCCCCGTGACTCTCAAATCCAATCAGTTAGCACTTTGCTTTGTGCCCCATTTCAGCCATGTGTTAGGCGGTTGGTGGTCCTTTGTAATCTGGATATACCTGTCCAGGAGTTTTGGAAATTTTTTTTTTTTTTTGGTAGAGGGCAGTGTCACCGGCCCTCATATGTGGGATCCAAACCGGGGCCCTCTGGCGTCCCAAGCCAGCTCTTAACCATCGCGCCACTCGGCCGGCCCTGGAATTTTTTGTCAATAGGTGATAGTACTACTTGAATGACCAAGTTCACAGAATTTCTCTAGCGATTAAATCGAGTGGATAATGTATGTGAAAATCGTTTGATATGGCTATAGCGCTAGATAACTGTCTGATTTGGGGACATAGAGGCCGGGGGTCTTTGGGAAGGTCTCATCCTGTGTATGATGAGGAGATGCCATAGTTGTGGGAAGAAGAACGTATTCCTTGCCCCTTCCTCTCCCCCCATGAATAGATACAAATAGCCGGAGGTAGTTAGAGACTAGAAAACCCTCCAGAGGAAGCAGGAGTCCATGCTGGTGAGTTCCTTAGCCGCATGTGATGTGATGCTTCTCTGGGCACTTTTATTCCAAATGCTGGAGGAGAGCTTAGAGCCGATATGTCAGACAGTGGCGTGTCAGCTGGAGCCTGCCTTATTAATGGTTCCCTGTGTTGTTACTATTTCCTGTGTGTTCTCGTCCTTTCCTTTTCTTTCCCTCCCTGCCCAGCACTGTCCCTCCCGTCATTCGCATTCTCGCTGGTCTCTGTCTCGTCCACCGGGAAACTTATCTTCCTGTGTCAGTGTCCACAGGGCTGGAGGGGCTGCTGGGGTTGGCAGTGAAACCAGCTTCACACCACAGCTGGAAAAAACAAAGTGGAATCCAGGTACTTCTGCTCAAAGGGGAGCGAGGCAGAGGGAGCTGGAGAAGCAGAGGCCAGCAGCAACCAGCATAAGGAGGGGACGGGCTTGGGGACCGCGCTTAGTGGTCAGCTGCCAACCTCAGAGTCCAGCTCTCCAGCCAGCCCTGGGGTGTGAACCCAAGTGCCCACTGGGGTTCTCGGCGCTGCTGATAAATCCAAAACCATGCGGAAATAAAACAAGTGGTCAGTAGTTCGAAAAGTATTAAAAAACGAACCCTAAAAATATATGATAAGATAATCTATGGAGATGCCAGTGGTAAAAGAGAAGTGGTATTTTAAAGTAATCTTGTCATTTAAATGACATACAGATCACACTTTACTGGGGGAGAAATTCTGATTTTGAAAGTTGGACACTCACTGAGTGCCCGCCATGTACCAGGCTGGGCCAGGTGTTGGAATGCAAAGTGAACGAGAGCGGACCCCTTACTCTTGGCAAGATGGTTCTTGCCAAGAAGTGTCCTCTTCCATGTGCCACAGTGAGGACATTGGAAAGATCCCCAAAGCCTCTTCATGTGAAAATGTTAAAATGATTTCACTGGTGTTTTCAGTTTCAAGCACTATGGTTTGGTATTAATCGAGGCCCTTTGCGCCAAGACGACAAAGCGCATTTCTAGAGAACAGACCATGACGTGTGCACACGTTAGTGCTAAGGACTCCACACTCTGAGGTTTGGCCCAGCAAGAAAGATGAGAGTGAGAAAGGCTCAGAGGAAAAAGCAGCTGCCCGTAATAAAGGGGGATG